TGAGATGGGCCAAACTAACTATAATGCCTGCCCTCACCCATCTGACAAAATTTTGTTGCCCAAACTCAAATGCCATCAGTCATATAAAAATGTTTAATTAACTATAAACCAAAATATAAAAAACACAGTTAGTTCCTATTATAGATGCTTGTCTGTGTTATCATTTTGTGCTATTTAATTATAATGGTTAGCATACTTACTATTAGGTATCACCTTAAACACTATAATTTAACACTCAGGGGATGATAGTTTTGAAATGTTCTTTTAGTATAATATACCAATAATTACTACTTTTATTTAAACATTTCCTTAATGTGATTGTCTTTAGGCTCTTAATTAATGCAGAGAAAGCTACAAATAGAATTTGAAAATGAAGCACAATTTAATATAGAAAGCACCACTAACCCTATTAGGTAATTATAGTGTTTCCTCTGAAAATTATGGTGAAACCATTTTATAGAATAAAGAATGGAAACTTGAGCTATGCTTATGTATCAATATGTTTTCAAAAAACATTTTGATATGACTATTTTGGGTCATTTCAATATTAACCAGGAAAAACAATTTATCTAAATTAGGCTTTTTTTTTTACACCTGACTGATAAGGAGACTGTGCATACCCATGCAAGAATACTATTTTACAAATAGTATTCTTAATTAGAATGAAGTCTAATCTAAATAGATAAAAACAAAGGAGATGTGTATTTAGGTGTAAAGCTACATGTGGGATTTTGGTTCTAGGCAGTCCTAAAATTTCATAATCTCAATAATAGACTGAGAGCCCTTTGTCTTGAAGTAACCAGGATCAAATTTAAAAAACCTGTTCAGCCACCAATCATCCTTCCAGTGGGTGCAAAAATATATAGTTAGAGAAGATAAACAATATTTGATAGCATAGCAAAGTGACTATAATCAACAATAAGTTAGGGTATACTTTAAAATAAATAAAAGAGTAGACTTGCAATGTTTCTAATACAAAGAAATGGTAAATGCCTGAGGTGATGGATACCCCAATTACCTTGATTTGATTAATTCACATTGTATGCCTGTATCAAAACATTACATGTACCCTATCAACATATACAACTATTATGTACTCATAATAATTAAACATTTAAAAAAATTTAAAAAACTGTCAAACTAAAATCTTAGGAAACCAGTATAAATTAGATAGAAATGTTGTTGAAGTATTAGTGTGATTAGCTACCATATTTAATTTGCTAAAATTTTCTAAATTTTTAAGTATTTAAAATACTTTTGCATTAAAATAAAGAAATGTATAAACATCCCTTAAAGGTTATATCTTTTTTTTTAAGAAAAAGGAGAGTAAATAATATCTTGAAACTTTCCTTTTAAATATAACACATCTACATATCTTACATATTGACAGTAAGCTTCAAGAAAATTATATTCTTGCAATGTCTTCAGTAAGAAGAGGTACTCTCCACCACCCAACATTCTGTCGAATTTATCTAACCAGTTAATTTTGACATAGGAATAGTAAATTAATTTTCATGTTAGTTCAAACAAAAACGTACAGCTAAGAAAGAGATAGATCAGTTAAAAAAATAAAGCAAAATCCACCCTAAAATTCCAGAAATAGGATGTTTTTAGTTAACACTCTCCCTTTTAGTAGCTTCTCTTTTTAGTATATGATCGTGAAAAATCACTTACACTCTGACCAAAAGAACTAGGACATACATGAGGAAAATGTCCATGTATAGATTTAAAATATGCAAGTAATTTATGAAACTCCTTTTTTCGTTAAAAATTCAAATAAATTAATAAGAATCTTTTACTGCCTGCATATTCTTCAAATACACTGTTATTACTGTAAAATTCACAATACAGTTAATATTAACTGTTTTAAAATTTTGCATACAAATCTTTGCATTTGATAACATACAATCGAAATGAAAATTATCTTCAAATTGATCCTACTTTCTATGTGACCCTGTAAAATTGAATGTATGTTAACGCTATGGTCACTTTAAATAGTCATAGACATGGTATTCTCAGGACATACAACTTATTTTTACCAATATTTTGCAACATCAAATGAGGGTTCCTCCTGCATTGAAGCCATGGTAAATTTTGCACTTTCAACAGTCTTAACACCCCACCCACCCCCTGTTTCTTAGCATATTTCTTAAATTCCTGCAAGAAATTGCCTTTGAGACCAAAGATTTTGTTTTCTGCACTTCTTAAGAGGTATCAAATCTTCATTGTTCCATAGATATTTACAAGCAGACAAAATGATCTAAATACATGTCTGATGTACCATTTCGAGTCTAAACTGAAGTAAAATGTAAGTTATAAGGAATTTTATTTGCATGTCCTGGTGTTCATTCTGAAGGCAAAGAGTTCCAAAATTATTCTAAATTTTTTAAAAAGTAATCTAATCTTAGGGCAAATTGTTTTAAGCAGAAAATTCAGTTTGCCATGCATGTACTAGTATATATATACATATAAAATATAGTTTGTTAAATGTTTTCTGTAAAATATAAAAGCTATGTTTATGCTGTTCTTCCACATATTTTAACACTGTAAGTATATGTTAAATGTTTTATTATGATATGCTAATGTGAAATTTATATACAAATATATACACATATATTTATAATATATATTTGTATTAGTAGCATATTATATAAGAGTGATTTAACTTTATCTTAATTTTTAAGGAAAATATATATGGTTAAAAGGAACAGTCATTTACATGAGGTCCTAAATGAAGTATAGTGATTCAGCTCTCATTTTCCTTTCTATAAATAAAAGGGCAAGAATGTATGTGTCTTACATTGGTTGTGAGTTTTATTATCACTCCATAGCCCAAACTTGAGAAAGAAGATTATAGACTTGTAAATTTAAGAGCTTTACTGGGATAACTGTTGGGGATCTTGGTTTACAGAAAGCTTAATTTGTCTTTCAGCTTCATGAGCCACACCACTAAACTCTAGTCCTTGGTGCTATGCTAGAGGAGCTATTAAAAATTAGGGTTAGGTATCCCTTTGAAAAACACCTGGAGTAATACTCCAGGCACTTATAGTGTGTCTGCTTTATCTCACAACTTGCAAAAACGCAGAAAATATATATTTATAACATTTGTCATTTGAAACATTAAAAAAGGAATAAAAGACAAATTAGAACATTTGAGTAATTTTAGTAATTATGCAAATTGTTTTATTTAATGGAGAACTAAAGCTATGGTCACTTTAAATAGTCATCCTTGTTATGCCACAAACTTGAGTCTAGTCATGTATCAGACCACATCATCACTGGCAATACAAGTAGGTAGCTTAAAATCCCATCAATAGAGTCAACTACATAGGAATCTGTCAAGTAATACCCTGACACCCACTGCTCTTTGCTATTTACCCAAGTTAGCATTTTCCTTCAGAGGTATTCATAATTATTTTCTAACCAAAATTACCAATGTCATTATCTCAATTGCTGCCTTAATTTTGCTTTGATAAGCAGAATTAATATTTATTAAGGACCTACTATATATCCTGATTTTTCTTCATGCTTTCAAAAATTGAATCTCTGAGGGCAATAATTTAGAAAAATGATAATGTCACTAGTCACATGATCATTTTAATCCTGTATGTATTTTTATTTACCAACAAATAAAAATCATTCCCTTCATTTCTAAATGTTTAAATGATTTTTTAATAATTCAGTGTATGCTGCTATTAGATGATGAGAGGTAAGGTATGCTTAATATATAATGTGAATTTAAAAGTATATACTTTACATCAGCTTAATAAAATGGAAAAGTGATAATGTAACTCCTAGGGGGAAATTATATAACAACTACAAGAATATTTTTCAGATCATATAACTTTATTTAACATTAATACGTTGTTAAACTCATTGGTTAAAACCACCAAGCAACATGCATCTAAATGACAGCCTATTAATATCTTTCATTGTCTATATATTCATTAATCTGTTAACTCAATTCTCAGCTGTCATATTTGCTGTTTTCATTTTGAACCCAATACAGACTGTCATGGGGCTCATTATGAGAAGAAAATGAATTGATTTCCTAGGAAGATCATTGAACTTTTTAATGCCAACATAGCAATTAAGGGAAAAAATAATTCATACACAGAATCTATGCCCCAGAATGCATGCAGATTCTGGAAAAAGCTGACATGCACAACAATAACATTTGTTTTATTTATTTATGATATTCTTGTAAATAAATCCTTTGCAAAATGAAAAATAATCTTATTTGGAAATAGTATTATCCCTGATTTTCATAATATTACTTTTATCTGGAAATGAATATAGTAATATACCAATGACAATTTGAAAGAAGCTTTTTTACATTTCATTGGCAATGACATATTTTATACAGATAGCTTTTGAGGCACTAAATGTTAGCAAAAGTTAATTTTAATTTATTCTTAAAAAAGACAAAAACGGCTTTGCTAGCTTTGTGCTTTTATCTAACTCTATACAAAAGTTAGTTAAAAAAATAAAGGTTACCCTGAAGAGACACTTTTTTCTAAATGAGAGAAAGAGATAAAAAGTAACATAGAAAATGTCAAATATATTATTAGGAAACTATGATGAAGCCTTTCACATAAGCTTAGTCTGTTTAGAAAAATATGTTGCAAAATTATTTATAATCAGATTTCAATCAATTTTACATATATTATACGATTGCTTATCAATTATTTCTGAAAACCGTGTTTTGTATAATTATTTGGACAAATGCTAACAGTAATTGCATTAAAATTTACTTGTCTACAACAGATTGATAAAATATTCTACCACATTCCATTTTCTTCCAATGGACTCAAAGTTGAGTTTCTCTTAATAATTTGCTTAGCATTAAGAAAGAATACTAAAAAAAAAAAATATAAACTCCCTTTAATTTAAATTTGCATTCAAGAAGTTCTTGTCTGATATAATTCAGCTGATAAATATGAACCTATGTGTTTATCAAATCCCTAAGAAGATTATCTAAATCAACTCCGTGTAATTACCATTCACCATCTGTTCCACCAGGGCCTGAGCTGATCTGCTGGCATCTTGCAGTTTTCTGAACTTCTCGGCTTTTTCTCGCTCTATGGCCTGCAGCATGATAGCAAAGGTGAGTATTTCAATACAGGGATTATGAATCTACACAGTAATTGTAACTTCTTACTTGCCCTTTCAAGCCTTAAGATACTTCACTCTGTCAGCTTATCAAGTGAATCTTAAACTTTTTTCTCAACTCTTTTGGCACCAAAGCATCAAAATGGCAATAAAAGCACAAGCTATTTTCATCCTTAATTGCTGGTATTTTAATAATAAAATTTCTACTCTTAACTTTTTTTACATTATAGTTTCTGATACATTGCAATGTAAGACTGCAAAAAGGCAAACCATAACAATGAAAGAGAAAATGTCAGATTGTTAAAATAGAACCTCTCTTTTAAAGATACACCATTGAAATTACTCTTAAATAACACAAGTATATATATATATATATATATATATATAGTATTAAAATCTAATTGAGAATCCAGTAAGTATATGAAATAGAAAATAGTACACGAGCATAAATAATTTTAGCAGAAAACACATATATTTAAATGTAAGACTGTAGGCTAATTTTTCTTTCTAAAATAGTCAAACATTATTTTCATGGAAAATGGGACTCATTTTCAGAGAGCTTTCTAAATCCCTTTGTTTATTCCTCCTAATGACAGTAAAATTTTGAACAATAAATACAAAATGATTTAAATTAACAAAAATCAGCATTATACACTATTGAGTTTAGTTAGTATCTCTACAGAGATATAAATTTTAAACCATGATGAAGAACTATATTACTAAAATCATTAAAAATATGTGGCTATAATATTATATAGATTTAAAAACATAACTATTCAAAGAAAAAGAAAACTATAATGCAATTAACATACAGTAACACTTTTGTGACTAAATAATGGCATTATAAAAAAGAGTTTGAGGCATGAGGTTACTCTACATCAGACTATTTTTCAAAACTTTATTTAGATCTACAGGCATTTTAACAAATGTTCCTAGGTGTAATATTAGAGGTAGTAGGGCATATAATAGATATATGCACACGCTGCAGTGTTATTGAGTAGAAATTTGTGCAAAGATGAAAATGTTCTGTATCTGTGTTGTACAATATGATAGCCAAAAGCCATATGTGGGTATTGAGCAGTTGAAAGTTGGCCATTATGACTGAGCAAATGAATATTTAATGTAATCTAATTTTATTCATTTTAACTAAAGTTTAAAAAATCCATGTGTCCAGTGTTAACTGTAATTGTACACTGCAAATCTAATGTCTTCCCTTTAGAAGCAAATATTAAAGATATATAGATAGAGATATCATACAAAGACAGATAGAAATGTCATAAATACTTTCAGAAAAATAAGTAATCATCTACATGGCTATTTCTAAATATAACAAATGATAGAGATGCTGATAAAATAATCCACATATTTTACATACCTGAAACTACTTTATAATTTAAAGAAATAGCTACAGATCAATAAAGGTTTTTTAAAATTATTTTTAAAGACTTTCATAAGTGGGAGACCAGACAATATCGGACCTACAAGCCTTGACATAAAGCCACAGTGTTCAAAGACAGTGCATATTCGCAAAAGAATAAACAAATTGGAACAGAATAGAGAGCCTAGAAATAGACTCACATAAATACAATCAAGTGAACTTTGACGAAGGAACAAAGGCAATACAATGGGGAAAAAAGTCTCAACAAATAGTGCTGGAATAACTATACATCCACATGCAAAAAACTGTATCTAGATACAGACTTTACACCATTCATAAAAATTAACTCAAAATGGATCACAGACTCAAATATAAAATGCAAAACTATAAAACTTGTAGAACACAACATAGGAGAAAATCCATATGACCTTGAATTTTAATGACGACCTTTTAGGCATAATACCAAAAGAATGATCCATGAAAGGACTGATAAGTTGAACATCATTAAAAATAAAATTCTGCTCTGTCGGAGATGTCATCTAGAGAATGGAAAAAAAGCCACAGACTGGGAGAAAATATTTGTAAAAGACATATCTGATAAATAACTCTTATCCAAAATATAAAAAAAAACTCTTAAAACTCAAAAATAAGACAACAAATGACCAAATTAAAAAATGGGCAAAAAAACCTTAAAGACACCTCACCAAAGAAGATGTACAGATGGCAAATAAACAAATGAAAATATGTTTCACATCATATGTCATCAGGGATTGAAAATTAAAACTACAATGGTGTACATTTGCACACCAAAATCCAGAACATTGATAACATCAAATTCTGGGAAGGATGTGGAGCAACAGAAACTCTCATTCATTGCCGGTGGCAATAAAAAATGGTACAGCCACTTTGGAAGACAGTTTGGAGGTTTTATACAAAACCACATGTGTTACTATATAATCTAGCAATCATGTTATTTGGTATTTACCTAGAAGAGTTGAAAACTTATGTTTACACAAAACCTGCACACAAATACTTATGGCATCTTTATTCATAATTGTTGAGACTTGGAAACAATGAAGATGTCCTTCAGTATGGATAACTAAACTGAAGTACATATAGACAATGGAATTTTATTCAGTGCTATAAAAATGAGCCATCAAGCCATAAAAAACATGGGGAAAGCTTAAATGCATATTACCAAGTGAAAGAAGCTAATTTGAAAGGAAACATACTGTAGGATTTCATGTATATGACATTCTGGAAAAGTCAAATCTGTGGGAAGAGTAAAACACTCAGTAGTGGCCAAGGGTTGGGGTTGAAGGAGGGATGAATAGGCAAAGCACAGATTTTAGGGCAGTGAAATTATTCCATATGATATGGTAGATACATGTCATTATAAATTTGTTCAAAGTCACAGAATGTGCAATACCAAGAATAAAAACTAATACAAAAACTATGAACTCTGGGTAATAATGATGTGTCAATGTAGGTTCATCTACTGTAACAAAGGTACCACTCTGGTGGGGCATGTTGATAATGGGGCAGGCTATGCTGTGTGGAGGCAGGGGTTATACGGAAAATTTCTGTACCTTCTGGTCAATTTTGCTGTGAACCTAAAGTTACTCTAATAAATAAAGTGTATTAAAATATCAAAAAAATGTTTTATGAATTAGGATTATTGGATTTCATATAAAGAGTATAAAATGCTAAAAGATCCAATCATCAATAAAACAGACTTTAATCTGGAATGGCTCTAATACAGAAAATACTAATTAAAAGTGAGAATAAATGAAGAGTGAAATGAAACACTAAAAGTTATAGTCTTGTTTTCTTTTATTTTTAAATACCTGTAGCCTAGTTGTAAAATATACATTTTACATTGTGCTGTGAAGGGCAGCAAATGAAAACTCAGTTTCATCTCATCAATCAAGAAACTCTGAAGGTTATAGACACATTTTAATATCTTGGAATCTACTTGAAAGTTTCAAAGTACACATATCGCGGTATTTTGTTATTATATGTTCCCAGTATCCCATTCCAATTAGCAGGTGAAACTTCTAGATTGTCTTGAAATTCAGTTTCATAAAGACAGTATTAGGTTGTTTCTACAAACATGTGGACAACCATGGAAGGTTCTAATCTGCTGGTTGAACTGAAAAGGCCATGAGAATAGTGTAGCCTATTAAAGATAAAATCCCAGAAGAAGCTCCAAAATTCACATTTTCTCAACTCCTCAAGTTTTGTGTTCTAAATTTTCTGTCCTTAGCTGCTTATGGTGTACTTGTTTTCCAATGCTTAAATTTCGTCACATTTAAAAAATAAATGTTACCTGTAAAGCACTCTGAACACTTTAGAAGAGAAAGAATAAGCACATTTAAGTAAATGCATAACAACTATTGAGAAAGACAGGAAGATTTGAGATGCCCTGGATTTGAACTACATGACAAAAAAAAAAAAAAATAGAAAAGAAAATTACAAAAAAGAAAAAATACTTACGCCACAAGACAATACAAAAAAAGAACAATGACAACAAACTAAGCAAACCATTGTTCTCTGACTTAAAGTTTAAGAGTTATCCTCTCCTCTCAGAGTGGTTTCTATTTTATCTTCATTGAGTTTTTGCTTTTTATTTTCCACATGAAATAATGTAAAAAGTAAAATTATAACACCATGTGGTCTTCATAAATAATGAAAATAAATTATCAATGGCCTTCTAATTTCATTATCATAATATCTTTATTCTAAGCTTAATAGAATAATCTATCAGTATCATATTTTGTTAACCAACTTATTCCATTTATTCTAATTTAAATAATAACAATAACCACCACCACAACAAAACAACAATCTATAACAGGCACTATTACTCTCCCATTTTGACAGAGAAGTGAGGCACAGAGAGGTTTGTGGAAAATTTGAAAACACTGGCATGACTACATTAAAAATGAACTTTTTTACACTGTCTACCAAATTACAATTTATGCACATTATTTCACATATATTCATAGTTATTGTGATATGGAGTTAGCATTATTTTGTTCCATTTTATACAAAATTTAGCATCAATAAAATTAAATCATATATCAAAGGTCATAAAATTAGAAAGTTAGGTCCAATATTAGAACCCTGCCCTACTATTTACAATTTAAGCTCTGTTTCAGATATACTCTTCTGCTTCAAGGGTTATTGCAATGGACATTAACCAAATAGGCTTGAGCATATAAGAATACATCTAACAGCAAAGGCGAGCTTTTGGTTTGGATGTAGTCAGGAATATTCAAGATATTTAACCATTAATTCAGTATGGGCACCAAGATATCAGAAGAAATGCCTGTTCACTCACAATGGGCACTGACTGACAGGCTATAGGCTGATTATCAGCTCTATATAGCTCATGCAAACTGAATAACTAGTACATGTAGAGACATAGACCCTAGAAAGAAGCAGTTAATGGCCTCTGCATACTTGTCAATGTTCAGATGATATCTGGGTTTTATTAAGTCACTTCACTGTAAAGTGGAATATTAGAAAATGAAGAAGATATAGGCACACATGTGCCATGAAGAGTGAGAATGAGACAATGGAAAGCCCAAAAAAC